CTTGTCCCTGGGTTTGTTAACACCCACTTTCTTCCACCACCTACCACCCCCACCCCCGGGGGATGCTACAGTTTTAAACAAAATATGTGGGAGACATTTTAATAGGTTTAGTCACTTTATCGTGAGGATCAGAATGTGAGAAGTCCTTGGGTTTAAGCAAGAATGAAGTGACTTAAGATGACATTACAATTGGACTATGCTACAAATTGAGGGGAAAGAGACAGATTTGTGGTACCTGTCTCTTGGTCGATCTCTTAAGAATTGATCCTTCCCCAGTAACTGGATATTTGTATATTCACAAGTGGATGCATCTCCCGCCAGGTTTCTGGGGGCTTCTAGTTAGATTCTGTTAGAGAGTGATGATGGAGCAGCTCCTGCCAGCTGAGACATCTGGGATGGAGTTTTCCTGTCATATGATGAGTGCTGCTACATTGGATCTCTTTGGAGGGGGAGGTGGGGGGCAGTTCTAGAGCCTTTCTTACATGATCAGCCTCAAGTTTTCTCCCTCATTGACAGCCTGTAGGTGTTTGAAAGTGGTGACGGGCACGAAGATAATCCATGTGTAGAGCTTGTTTGGTGAATCTTTATCCTTATTAGGTTTCCTGGACAACCGTGCATAGATGTGCTAGGGATGTTCCTGGCCCTTCGGCCCAGTGGGCTTTGTTGAGCCTGCGGTCATTCGTGCACCTGGTCCTCCCACCTCCTTCAGGGCAGACTTCGGGGTCTCGAGCATCTGAGGTGCACACTCCTTAGAGCCCACACCTTGGATGCGCTTGTGAATAGTGTCCTCTCGGGTCATGACTTTGTTGATAGTCAGTCTCAACATCCTTTGTGAGAGCCATAGCGCCGGGACCGGGCTGGAAGGGAAGAGCACAAGGAATTGTGGGAGAAGGAAAACAGTCTAAATGGGATCTTTTTTAACTTGAATGTGAAGTGAGTGAAGGTTTTAAAGAGCAGACTGATTTTCTATTCAGTGACTCATCCACGTTTCATACCCTGGATTGCAGTCCCCACAAAGGAGCGGCACCGGTCCCCCTTCTGGTGTCCTGTTTCTGTTCCTTTCCTGCAGCTCCTGCTTTCTGAACCCGTCCTTGGGTAGATCTGCACTTTTGCTCGCAGATGATGGCTTTTGCTAAGGATGTGGACCTCGCCGGTGACATTCCGCCTTATACCTCTCTATTGGGTGACAGGAAATCGAGCCATGGCGGTGAGTTAGGTTCTAGACCTGAAGAGTTACAAAGGGCCACTTCCTCAGGTTCCACGTAGCCTTGTTTTGTGACAGGGTTTTTCTCCGTCTATTCAGCACCTTTACTGTGTTCCCTTCAGCGCAGTTGGTGGTGGGAACCAGGCACACTCCCCCAGTCCTGGTGTGAGGGCCATGGAGAGCGACCTTGGGGTGGTCTCTAAGTCCACCAGACCAATTTGAGTCGGCGGGTCCCCGTGTCTGCAGTGTTCACCGTCAGGTGCTCCAGACGGCCGTGTGCTGCTCACCAGAGGAGGCTGCACACTGTCCTTGGTGGGCTCGAGGGGTGCTTGTGCTTCAGAAGTCCCTCTGCCCTCTGTGCGCTCCACCTTGCTCTCGGATGATATTCCCCGCACATGTAAGCTACGGTGTGTACCAGGATCCTCTGTCACCACGTGGCATTGTAAAAGAGGAGTCAGGCTTTCCATAAATCTGCCATATGCCCGTATTGCCCTGGTTGGTAAGGAAGAAGAACTCAAGGCCAGCTCTCTTTTTCCAGAGTCCTAAGAGCAGCGGTTCTCAACCTGGGGGTTGTGGCCCCTTTGTGGGGGAGGGAGGGGTCCAATGACCCTTTCACAAGGGTCACCCAATTCATAACAGTAGCAAAATTACAGTGATGAAGTAGCAACAAAAACAATTTTATGATTGGGGGTCACCACAACATGAAGTGTATTAAAGGGTCGCGGCATTAGGAAGGTTGAGAACCACTTCCTTAGAGGAAATAAAGGGGTCCTGGTGGCCCAATGGCTATGCATTTGACTGCTAACCGAGTGTTGATGGTTCATACCCACTCGTGGCTTCCCAGGAGAAAGGACCTGTGATTTGCTCCTGGAAAGATAACAGTCACAAATTGCTATGGGTCAGATCGGCTTACTCAAATGTTATTATTTGAGGACGTTTCTGAAATCTGTTTAATTCTTAGCTTCTCTTCCTCTCTCAGTAAAACTTGTGCCCAAATCAGAATGGGTAGAATCGTCTACATTCTTAAGCCATTGCGTCAAGCCATCGACCGCAGTGTGGCTCCTCAACACCAGCACTGTGTGGGCCTTTCACACGGCACCTACCTCACTGACAGCGGCTCTGTGCAGCAGTGAAAGCATCCCATTGTTCCCCTTGGGAAAGTGAGGCCAGGGTTTTGAAATTCTTCGCACAGGCTCACTGCTAAGCGGTGGGAGTCAGAACTTCTGGCTGCGAGTTGTAATAAAGGCTGCGGTAGCCCTTTCCACATTGGAGTGTTTGACACCGCTTGCCCCTGCCTGCAGCAGGCAAAGAAAACACGGGCAGCAGAGTTACCGCCCTGAGATGGCTCCACTCTGGTGGTGAAAAGCTCTGGAACTTTTTCAGGGCGGAGCAAAGACCTCCCTGCAGCTTTCTTGGCACCAGAATAGCTGGGAAGAAGGAGAAGAGCTGGAGCAGTCTAATCCCCCAGAAAACCTGCTGGCTGCTTTTTCCATTTCCCTGTGCATCCCTCTGACCCGACTGCCCTGTGTACACAGAGCTGTGCCTGCTGTGGCTTCCTCCGAAGGGACCAAGACCTGGAAGGTTCTATTGTTAACAAGCAAACGGTGATAGAGAGGAATGAGGTGCAGAGTGCTCTTACAGCTGAGCTCTGTATTTAGAAACCTCCGCTTGCTTGTCTCTCTTGGAGCCTGTGGCGATCCCTCTTAGGTTGTACTTTTCCACATCTGTGGGTCTTTTCTTCCCGCCGAGGGTGTGACAGCCGGTGGTCCTCCCTGCTTCATTAAGGTTCCTGATGCGTGCTGCTGGCAGCCCATGGCATGGGAACAGGTACTCCTCCAGAAGGGCCGTTGGTTTCCAGGGGGTCTTACCAACCACCCACTAACTCTTGTAACAGTTGACGGAGCTGCAGAACCAGCCCGGTGAGC